AGCTGCAGCTGCTGCTGCTGCAGCAGATGCTGCAGCTGCTGCAGCAGCAGGAGGTAATGCTGCTGCTGCATGCAATCTGCTGCATACAGCCTCCGCTAATTCCTCATCAGTAAGAGCAGCAGAAGAAGAAATCTTTGTTATTGCCCAAGACACTAACACCTCTCTTGCTGCTAGTCCTGTATACTCGCATATCTTAAGGGCTAACAGGTGCTGCTGACGGCTGCACACAAACCCTAAACCCTAAACCCTAAACCCTAAACCCTACAGTCTAAGGTCTAAGGTCATATAGGCTCAGTGCTTATAGGGCATAAAAAAGAACTAATTCAGCAGCAGCAGCAGCAGCAACAGCAACAGCAGCAAACACAAAATGACCACAACACGTAGAAGAACGTGACAGTAACAGCAGTAGCAACAGCAACAGCAGCAGCAGCAGCAACAGCAACAGCAGCAGCAGCAGCAGACTTGGCAATTCTTTTGACGAGCTTAGCGAGGGTTAAATGGCGCAATTGTGCGACAGTCAATGACATGTCTAAAGGAGGACCCCGTAAACAATTACATATCCTGCAACAAACCCTAAACCCTAAACCCTAAACCCTAAAACCCTAAACCCTAAACCCCTAAACCCTAAATACTTGATTATAGGATAGGATATGAAGGAATCCTTCTTCTTAGAAGCAAAACCCTCGTAATATCTAATATCTAAACCCTAAACCCTAATAAATAATTCGACCCTCGACCATAAACCCTAAACCCTAAACCCTAAAACCCTAAACCCTAAACCCTAAACCCTAGCTGACCGTATATCTCTGCATGCCTTAATAAATAATTTTTCTCCATTTTCTTCTGTTGGGTCATCTAAGAAGCGACGGCCAAATGCTGCTGCTGATAGCAAGAAGGAAGCAGTAGTGCAGCAAAATTCATATGTTGCTGCTTCGCAGCATGCTGCTGCTGCTGCAGCTGCAGCAGCAACACATATATATATACATACACACACCAATAAATGTATCAACTGCAGCAGCAGCAGCAGCAGCAGTAGTAGTAGTAGTAGAGTAGCAGACAGTAACCAACTAGCAGCAACAACAGCAGCAACAACAGCCGCAGCCGCAGCAGCAGCACCAGCACCACGAGCATCAGCAAACAGCAGCAGCAGCACCACCAGCAACCAGCAGCCACAACAGCAACAGCAACAGCAGCAGCAACAGCAGCAGCAGCAGCAGCAGCAATTATTATATACCTAATTCATGTTTAATAGCTCTAAGTGTTTCCTCAGCAGCAGGATCATTTGCATGCAAACTTTCATGAGAATAACACAACATAGCAGCGGGATCGTACGATCCCACGGCAAATATTGCTTCTGTTGCTGCTGCTGCTCGCTGCAGCAGCTCGCTGCTGCTACCTGTTACTACACGCACACCATCTATCTCCCCTAGTAGCAGCAAACCCTCATCCTCATCTGCGCATGCAGCCCCAAACTCTAATGCTGTCCATTCGCTACCAGGACCACCCAGTAACACTAAATGCTGCATACATACATACAGCAGCAGCAACAGCAACAGCAGCAGCAACAGCAACAGCAACAGCAGCAGAAATGTCAATTGTATTGTTGTATTATGATGAAGAAGCCGCAGCAGTAGCAGCAACAGCAGTAGCAGCAACGGCAGTAGCAGCAACAGCAGCAGCAGCAACAGCAACAGCAGCAGCAGCAATATCAGCATTAACATCACCATTATCAACAGCAGCATCATCAACAACATCAGCAACAGCAGCAGCAACAGCAGCAGCACCACCACCACCATCACCACCACCACCACCAACAGCAGCAGCAGCAGCAGCAGCAGCAGCAGCAGCAGGAGTATACGTATTTACTTGTATATCTCCTGATGGTGTATGCAGAGGTACCCATAAACAAAGACAATCATCACCACACCATACAATTTGTTTTATGCTGCTGCTGCTGCGCTCAGCAGCAGCAGAAGCAGCAAGCTGTATCTCCTCCCCATCTATACTTAATACCTGTAATACTCTGCAGCAGCAGCAGCAGCAACAGCAGCAGCAGCAGCAACAGCAGTTATGCAGCAACAGGAAGGGAAAGAGCAGGAACAGCCGTAAAAATAGCAGCAGCAGTAACAGCAGCAGCAACAGTACAGGCATCAGCAGCAATACACGCATCAGCAGCAGCAACAGCAACAGCAGCAGCAACAGCAGCAGCAGCAGCAGCAGCAGCATCACCCTGTGGTGGAGAGAGCAGCAACAAATCTTCCGCTTCTCGATGCAGTAAGAGCAATAAAAGGGCCATCAGGTATCCTATACATAAACCCTAAACCCTAAACCCTAAACCCTAAACCCTAAACCGCTGTGAATTCAACAAGCTACAATCAAAGAAGCAGCAGCAGCAGCAACAACAACAACAGCAGCAACAGTAGCAACAACACCACCACCCCCACCACTACCACCACCACAAGAAGCAGCAGCAACAGCAGCAACAGCAGCAGCAGCAGCAGCAACAGTAGCAACAACATCACCACCCCCATCATTACCACCACCACAAGAAGCAGCAGCAACAGCAGCAGCAACAGCAGCAGCAGCAGCAGCAGCAGCAGCAGCAGCAGCAGCAGCAGCAGCAGCAGCAGACTTGAGGTCTGTCCATGTATGTCTTTGTGCGAGTATAATTGCGCTGTCTTCTGTTGCTAGCAGCAAACGCGGCTCAATAATATTTTCTTCTAATCCATTAAATAAGCTGCTGCTGCTGCTGCTGCTGCTGCTGCTGCTGCTGCTGCTGTAAGGGGCAGAAGCAGCAGGAAGCAATGGACCCCATACACCACATAGACATAGAGGAGGACCAGATAAGGCTGCAGCAACAAATATGCACAAAAAACTGCAGCAACATATTTTGCTGCTGCTGCTGCTGCTGCTGCAGCTACAGCAGCAGGAATAACAAGCGCAGCAGAAGCTACAACAACAACAACAGGCACAGAAGCACAGCAGCAAGCTCAGCAGCAGCGGCAGCAACAGCAAACGCAGCAGCAGCAACAAAGTCACCATCAGCAGCCAGCACAGCAGCAACAGCAACGCAGCAGCCACAGCAGCAGCGGCAGCAGCAGCAGCAGCAGCAGGAGGGTATACATACGTGGTGTCTGTAGCTGCAGCAACTTAGCTTGTCTAAATGATTGATTAACAAACACTTTATTTGTACTCGTCACCAATGCTATACCAGCACCACATACTAAACCCTAATTCACATAAACCCTAAACCCTAAACCCTAAACCCTAAACCCTAAACCCTAAACCCTAAAATTATAAACCCTAAAATTATAAACCCTAAACCCTAAACCCTAAATGCTGAACAACAAGCAAACATCTTGACAAAAAATCATAAAAAAAAAAACCCTAAACCCTATACCATTGTGACAAACCTCCCAAACCCTAAACCCTAAACCCTAAACCCTAAACCCTAATTGTACCTTAATAATGCCGCCCTCTGCCTTAATTGCTGCACCTAAAGAGAAACTATAAATCTTTTCTCCAGCAGCAGAAAATGTTCGTACAGTTGAATCACCAAATACGCATACTAATACCTGAATAACCAAACCCTAAACCCTAAACCCTAAACCCTAAACCCTAAACCCTAAACCCTAGATACGGTGAGTACCAATTGAATAAAGAATACACATACAACAAAAGCAGAGGGAGAATATTTTAATGTCTAGGGTTTTAGGGTTTTAGGGTTTAGGGTTTAAGGGTTTGGGGTTCGATGGTTTAGGGTTCGAGGGTTTAGGGTTTAGGGTTTAGGGTTTATACTTCTTGGTCATTCCAATCCATGGTAACGAGACGAGAGAATGTCCAAGGAACAGAAGAGACGAATCTACCCCGAGCAGTATAAAACTATACACATAATAACAAGGGTTTAGGGTTTAGGGTTTAGGGTTTAGGGTTTAGGGTTTGGGTGGCATCCTGTAGAGGTGTTTCCTGAGGCATATTCATATTCGCTCTTGGGGTTTAGGGTTTAGGGTTTAGGGTTTAGGGTTTAGGGTTTAGGGTTTACCTGTAGTTCAGGTAATTGTTTCTGGGGGTTTGCAGAATTACGATTAGGTGACGAGAGTACAGCAATAGGTCCTCCTGCAGGAGCAGCAGCAACGTGCTGCTGCTGCTGCTGCTGCTGCTGCTGCTGCTGCAGCTGCTGCTGCTGCTGCAGCACCTTCCTTCCCCTCCATAGCATAGAATAGATTGGCTGTCTTCTATACTTTATACCCGCTAGGGTTACCCAGTCCCCTCCTCCTGTCAGCCCCAATCCTCCTTTGCTGCTGCTGCTGCTGCTGCTGTTGCATGCATTGCATCCGCTGCTGCTGCAACCACCGCTGCTGCTGCTGCTGCCCACGCTGCTGCTGCAAGGCAAAAAGGGAGAGGCAGCAGCACGTAAGTCTGCGCTTACACTCCATGGGTATAAACCCTCACGCTGCATCAGCAACTTCTCTGACATTGTCCCTGCTGCTCCTGCTGCTGCTGTTGCTGCTGCTGTTGCTGCGGCCGTTGTTGCTGCTGCCGCTGCTTTTGCGGCTGCTGCTGCTGATGTTGCTGCTGCAACTGTTCTTACTATTGTTGCTGCTGCTGCTGCTGGTGAGGGCAGAAAGGCCAAACAGGAGCACGACTGCAGTTATGAAAACACCTTTAGCAGCAACAGCAGCAGCAGCAGCAGCTCCCGCTGCTGCTGTTGCTGCAGCAGGGGGGCCCCTGTCCAGCCAGCAGATGCTGGCGTTGCTACTGGCGTTACTCTTGCTGCTGCTGCTGCTGCTTTGAGTATTATGTGTTATACTGGAAAAATTGACAGGGTTAAGGGGAAGGGTTTCGGGAAACCCTAAACCCTAAACCCTAGCCGCAAAACCCTAAACCCTAAACACTAAACCCTCCACCTTGAAGACCGGAGGGTGACACATGCAAAGAAAAAGAAGAAAAGAATATTTATAATTTATTTATTTATTTATATTTAATTTTATTTGTCATTAACAAATAAAAAAAGAGTTTTTGTTGATATGCTCGCTGCCGCCGACGCCAAACCCTAAACCCTAAACCCTAAACCCTAAACCCTAAGCTTCGGAATGTAATACACCATTAGATACCTCCTCAACTTCTTTCAACATCCAATTTTCAATTTATGAATAATTTTCCTTCGAGGGTTTAGGGTTTAGGGTTTAGGGTTTAGGGTTTAGTGTTTAGGGGGGCCTCCAGCTCGGAACTGCTGTGAGTGCCCATTTAGATGATTATTTTGTTTAATTATTTTATTTATTTATTTATTTATTTATTTATTTATTTATTTTATTTATTTTATTTATTTTATTATGCTTTTGTCTATTATTATTTATGCCGTAAAGTGTTTGCTGCTGCATGCAGCAGCAAAGACACCCAGCACACAACACAAGCAGCCGCGGCTGTTTGCTAGGGCTTAGGGTTTAGGGTTTAGTGTTTAGGGTTTAGGGTTTAGGGTTGAGAATTCTTAGCTGTAATCAACTAGCGATTCTAGCAAGTCATTATATCTATCTAAAGTTCTCCCTAAACCCTAAACCCTAAGCCCTAAACACTTAAACCCTAAACCCTAAACCCTAAACCCTAAACCCTAAACACTTGTAAGGATGCTCAATTGCGTTTGTTAGTAAATATATATACTATATACACGTACTACGTATATTATATATATAATATATATTATTATTTATATAATATATATATTATATATTATATATATATTATATATATTA